TGAGTAGATCAATAGGTACCGCTCCGGCGGGAAGGTAACGGCGCTCCATGCAGTCATGCTGGCCACATGACCTTGGAGGTGTCTACGGACAACGCTGGCTCTTCGGCTTAGAAATGGAGATGAGCACCACACCCCAGAGTCAGACATGACTGGACTTAATGTCAGGGGACTACCTTTACCTTAGACATGTAACAGATGTGAATGTTTGAGTGAGTATGTGTGCAGAGATAAATGTTATGCAATATATTCTTCTTTTAAATTAGAAAGATTAAATTAGTAAGTGATTTCACTATGAATACATTGTAAAGGTTTACTGTGTTTATGGGAGCATGGGAACAGTAAATGATTACAGGCTTCACTGCTTTGACTTGGAAAAGCAGTGGTGTTTGCTTATAAAATTCTCCCTCTGGAAAACCCATAGGCTTATAAGATTAAGTTAACATCTGAGAACCACCCCCTCTGCCACCCCACGCCGGAACTCGGAAGGACAAATGAACTGTCAGAATCTTTTGACAATCCATATTTTAAAAGCATTTGTCCCAATTCACCCAAACGTATCTGTGAGCAAACAACAGAGGCTTCTACCTGTAGATAGATCTCTGCATGGGGCCTTGAGCTCATATGCCACCAGCATCTTATGGTTCACTCCACAATTCAGAGCCTCTGGCCGTAGGTTGCCAGTGACATGTGAAAACCATGTGTATGGTTACACATCCAGAAGTAACCATACTTCTGGATGTGTGCATGATGGCCCAAAGGTTCATACTTTGGCCTTTGGGATTTTGAGGTTGTGTAGTTTTAAAGGTATTTAAATATTTTTTTATGTTTAGTGGTTTAATTACACAAAGGGTATAATTGGTTTTTTAATACTCATATTTTAATGCATTTGCATTGTATCATATTTATTGTTGGCTACTTTGGGTCTGTATATCTGGAGAAACTCAGAATAAAAATAAATAAATGAATAAATCCAATTGCTTGTCTCAAGTACAGCAGGCCCACTTAATGAGGTCCTGAATGGTAAATTAATACTTATGCAAATTACCCAAATTTAAGAGGTGTATTAGAGTCAGAAGTAAAAACTGAATGCAGGTTCTTCTAGCTAAGAATTTGCAGTCAAGTTTTCTTTTCCTCTTGATCCTAGTCCCTTACTTTGGATTGCATGTACATTTGGCCCTCAAAATCCACAGATACAACTATCCACAGCTTGAAAATTTCCCTCTCACCACCAAAAAAAAAAAATCTGAAGAGCAAACCTTGATTTTGCCATTTTATTATTCCATTGTATATAACTGAACTTGAGCATCCATTGACTGCCCTTCTTGTTAGAAGCAGTGTATCTCTTGCAAGGGTCTTTAGAAAAGCCCTCCTTTCTCATTATATTTCAAGACATCATGTAGACCTCATGTCTTTACCATCAAATCACACATTTGGAGCATCTTGCCTAACAAACAGATCTGAACAAAATGAAGATACGTGAAATCAAAATGGTTAAAATTTACAAACATCTCAATAAACTATCCTTCTAAGTACCACTTTAGTTTTAAAACATAACAATGTGGATAAATTGGGTTGTTGTAGGTTTTTTTGAGCTATATGGCCATGTTCTAGAGGCATTTCTTCTGACGTTTTGCCTGCATCTATGGCAAGCATCCTCAGAGGTAGTGAGGTCTGTTGGAACTAGGGAAAGGGTTTATATATCTGTGAAATGACCAGGGTGGGACAAAGGACTTTTGTCTGCTGGAGCTAGGTGTGAATGTTTCAACTGACCACCTTGATTAGCATTTGATTGCCTGGCAGTGCCTGGAGCAATCTTTTGTTGAGAGGTGATTAGATGTCCTTGTTTGTTTCCTCTCTGTTGTTGTGCTGTCCTAATTTTAGAGTTTTTTAATACCGGTAGTCAGATTTTGTTGATTTTCATGGTTTCCTCCTTTCTGTTGAAATTGTCCACATGCTTGTGGATTTCAATGGCTTCTCTGTGTAGTCTGACATGGTGGTTGTTGGAATGATCCAGCATTTCTGTGTTCTCAAATAATATGTTTTGTCTAGGTTGGTTCATCAGGTGCTCTGCTATGGCTGACTTCCCTGGTTGAAGTAGTCTGCAGTGCCTTTCATGTGCCTTGATTCGTGTTTGTGCGCTGCGTTTGGTAGTCCCTACGTAGACTTGTCCACAGCTGCATGGTATACGGTAGACTCCTGCAGAAGCGAGAGGATCCCTCTTGTCCTTTGCTGAAGGAAGCATTTGTTGGATTTTCTTGGTGGGTCTGTAGATAGATAGTTTGTGGATAAAAGTACTGTGCATACACACCTAAGGTTATTGGACTAAAAACTGGAAATGACTTCAATACCTTTCATGTCTGTATAGAAGAGGGAATTTCATCAACTGTGGTTTTTCAGAGAACCAGGTGTCAAGCCTGCTGAAATGGCCTCTTCCATCGAAACATTAAAGGTACAGGAGCCATCTCATTTTCAAACTGACAACCCTTTACTAAGCACCTATTTGACCATTTACTTGGGTTTGTTGTAGTGTGCTTTCAAGTCATTTTAAAGTTGTGGGATCATTACAATTTTTTTCCTGATAGTGCTTGACTTGCCCAAGATCACCCATTAGGTTTCTACAGAGGAGCAGGGATTTGAATTCCAAAATCCAAGACTGTCCATATTGGTGGCCAAGATAATTGCATCCTTGCTTTCGGAGAGTGCAATACACACCAACTTTGCTTCATACATTACATTATTTATAAATATTATGTACAAAACGACCTTCAGGCTATGCGCACAAGGTGCAAATGAAACATAAATGAATGTTATGTTTAGACCTCCAAGATATCTCATTATGGATATCCAAACATTCCCAAATCCTGTGGGGAGGAAGCAGGGGCGGGTAGGGAAGAATATCCAAAATATGAAACACTTCTAATTCTAAGTATCTTGGATGACAAGAAACCTCCTGACGGCTGCTTCTCCTCCTCCCTCCCCGAGTGGAGCTGGTCCATGTGGCACCTGGGAGCAGGGGCACTTTGGTGTCTATATTTTCAGGCGTGTTCCTGGGGTTATTTGAGGTGCTGATTCAGAAAATTGCATTGGATAGACCACATCAGCTCTAGATTATTAAATATGGTTTACTGTGGGCGAGCAAATGGTGACTACTGGATGGCATATGTTCTGTATCAGAAACTATAGTTGATGTGATGTGGTCTATCCAATGCAATTTCCTAAATTGGCACCCCAAATAACCAAACCGAATCTAAAGTTGACCAAAGACTGATTCGTAACCCTTTTGGTACTAAGCTTGGAGAGTGGTCCCTGGTCAAAGTGGTCACGGGAAAAAAAATGTTGGGAACCACTGCCTTAAAGGGTTTGTCTAGGTTTTGTGTTAGATGGGGTATACTGGGAATACAAGCAATGTTCGATATAATAACAAACTTTGTTAATTGTATAATAAAGTCTTATATTGCTAGAATATAACTTTAAAAAGGAATTGTTGTTCTATATCAAGAAGATGGGATAAAAAATAAAGTCAATGGATGCATCCTACACTGCAGAAATAATGCCCAGCCATTCCTGAGAGTTGTGATGATTATTATTATGAATTTATTACTCGCCTCTCCTTGCGGCTTGAGGTGGGGTACAACTAATTAAAACATGAGATAAAACATTGGGTTGCTGCAAGTTTTTCTGGGCTATATGGCCATGTTCCAGAGATCCTGATGTTTCATCCACATGTAGGTCAGGCATCCTCAGAGGTTGTGGAGTCTGTTGGAAACTAGGCAAGTGGGTTTTATATATCTGTGGAAAGTCCAGGATGGGAAAAAGAATTGTTTGAGACAAATGTGAATGTTGTAATTGGCCACCTTGATTAGCATTGAATAGCCTTGCAGCTTCAAAGCCTGGCTGCTTCCTGTCCAAGGGAATCCTTTGTTGGGAGGTGTTAGCTGACCCTGATTGTTTCATGTCTTGAATTCCTCTGTTTTCAGAATGTTGTTCTTTATTTATTGCTAATCAAGGTGATTAATTGCAGCATTCACACTTGCCTCAACAGACAAAAAGTTCTTCCTCCGAACCTGGACATTTCACAGATATATAAACCCCACTTGCCTAGTCAAATCCACTGATGAGATGCAAAATAAAATTCACAACATAAAATTGGTACATTTGCAAGGGATGCATCTGCACTGCAGAATTAATGTGGCTTGACACCACTTTAACTGCCAAGACACAGTGGAATAGGATCATGGGAACAATATGCAAACAGTGGTTCCCAACCTGTGGTCCATGGACCACCAGTCTTCCACAAGAACTAACATGTGGTCCACAACCTCACTGTTACAACACTGTTGCAACGAGAGTGATTGGTCTCATGAGACCCTCTTATAGTGCGGAGTGCCATTAAATATGGTTTTCTATGGGCGAGCAGATAGCGACTACTGGATGGCATATGTTCTGTATCAGAAACTAAAGCTGATGTGGTCTGGCCAATGCAGTTTTCTGAATCAGCACCCAAAAACCCAAATCGAACCTAAAGTTAACCAAAAACTGTTTTGTAACCCTTTTGGTACTAATGTTGGAGAGAGGTCAAAGTGCTTTGTTGTTTATTCATTCAGTCGCTTCCGAGTCTTTGTGACCTCTTGGACCAGACCACACCAGAACTCCCTATCAGACGTGATCACCACAACATGAGGAACTGTATTAAGGGGTCACGGCATTAGGAAGGTTGAGAAGCACTGCCTTAGCCTACTTTGCAAACTACAACTCCCATGAGTCAAGGCAGTTCAAAGTGGTGCCAAACTGTATGAATTCTACAGCGGTGATGCAACTAATAAATGAAACGAAATATCGAGCCATGCAACAAGCAAAAGCAACACTGGAGGAGACGACAATCCCCCCGGAGAGAAAGCGGAGTTTCCCCTTCTTGGTGGTTGTGTGTGTGTTTTGCCAAACCTCTCCGTCGTGGGCGCAGGAAGAGCAACAGCAGGAGGAGCAGCAGGAGGAGGAGAAGCCAGGCCTGGGAGGCTGGAGGGTTGGCCGAGTAACCCGAGCTCGCTGTGCTGAGCTGAGGCGGACGGGGCCCCAAAACGGGGCGGGGAGAGAGGCCGAGCCGGAGCCCAGGGAGGGAGAGAGACGCTGCCCTGGCTGCCGAGGAAGAAAGGAAGGAGGCAGGCGTGGAGGAGAGAAGGAAGGGAGGGCAGCCTTCCAGAGAGACCCGCAGAGAAGGAGGAGAAGAGGAGGAGGAGGGAAGAAGAAGAAAGAGGGAGAGGAGAGGAGAAGGGAGAGACAGAGGAGAGAAAGAGGGAGAGGGAAACCATCCCCGAATCCCACCCCAAACCCCAGCCATCTCTGCATTCCTCTTCCCTGCCCACTTTCCCTCTTAGGAAGCCGGTCTGCAACGTGCTTGGGCTTCTGCTGAGAGTCTTTGGAGGAGGAGGAGGAGGAAGGGAAGAAGCCTTGGCTGCCTCTTCTGCCCAAACTTTGAGAGAGGGGAAGAGATGGGGGTCTCCGGGGACGTCCAATAGCTAGTAGGAAGAGATGGTGCTTCTGCGTCCCCATTGCTCCCCTTCCTTGGCTTCCAGTTAGCCCCATTTGTGGGGCTGAGAAGAGAAAAAGAAGAGCCTCCTTTTGCTCGCTGGGACCGACTCTACGGCGGGTGAGTAGAAGGAAAAGCCTTTGGCTCTACTTTGGCAAGTCTTTTTCTTCTCTTTGTCTCAATGGCTTCGTTATTGGGGGGTCGATTTGATAGCAGAGTGGAGCTTGAACTGGGTTTCTCCCCAGTTAATCCCATCGTGTCGCTTCTCCGTGTGTTTGTGTCGTCTCCAAGGAGCACAGAGGCGATGATCCATGGTTGGTTGGCTGGTTGCTCATGGATGCCAGTGGTTTGAACATTGTTTGGTTGCATCTACTCCAGGAATGGGCGACCTTGGACCCTCCGGGTGTTTTGGACTTCAAGTCCCACCATTCCTCACAGCCTCAGACCCCTTCCCATGGGCAGACATAGCCCTCCAGGTGTTTTGGACTTTAAGTCCCACCATTCCTCACAGACTCAGGCCCTTCCCATGGGCAGACATGACCCTCCAGGTGTTTTGGACTTCAACTCCCACCATTCCTCATAGCCTCAGGCTCTTCTCATGGGCAGACATGGCCCTCCAGGTGTTTTGGACTTCAACTCCCACCATTCCTCACAGCCTCAGGCCTTTCCCATGGGCAGACATGGCCTTCCAGGTGTTTTGGACTCCAACTCCCACCATTCCTAACAGCCCCAGGCCCAGGCTTAAGCGGCTGAGGGGGAAAGGAAAGGGGCCTGAGGCTGTTAGGAATGGTGGGAGTCCAAAACACCTGGAGGGCCCAAGTTTTCCCATGCTTTATTGACACCATAAAATTAATGCAGTTTGACCCCAGTTTAACTGCCATGGCTCAGGGCTATGAGATCCTGGGAGTTGACTTTCCTGAGGCACCAGCATCCCTTGGGCTAGAAGGCTAAAGCCCATGTTAAACCACAACTCTCACAATTTCATAGCACTGAACCATGGCAATTAAACTGCATCAGTTCTACCCTGTGGATTCAGCCTTCCAAGAGTTGCCATCATGTGTCTCTCCCCACAATCACTTCCTTATGTATTTGCTTTTGATAGTGTTGTTAGGGTGAATCTCCGCTGTATATTGAATGCAACTTTCGTTGCCATGGCTCAATGCTGTGGAATCCTGTGAGTTGTAGCTTTACAAGGTATTTCACCTTTTTTGACAAAGAGCGTGGGTGCCTCATCGAATTGCACACCTCAGGATTCCATAGCATCTGTTTCAGGGAAATTAAAGTGTTTTCAAATTGCATTAATTCTACTATGCAGATGCACCTTTAGAAAGGGTGGTGTTACCAGTGGTCACCTGCAGTGAACTGGGTGTTAAGGAAGGATGCTTATGGGACAACTGTAATCTACATTTGGGAGAAGGGGGAAAAGCAAGTGGAAATCTGTATAAATGCTGCTTTTCATAGCTGTATTCCAAGCTGATCTGTTCCATATGAGGCTTTAGTCTGCAATGTATCATTTTGCTCTCTTAGTGAGAAACCTATGGACTTTCTTTTTCTGCAGTTGGGATGATCCTTTATATTTAGGCTTTGCATGGAAGTCTTCTAGATTGTAAAGCAGTGGTTCTCAACCTTCCTAATGCCATGACCCCTTAATACTATTCCTCATGCTGTGGTGACCCCCCCAACCATAAAATCGTTTTTGTTGCTACTTCATAACTGTAGTTTTGCTACTGTTGTGAATCGTAATGTAAATATCTGATATGCAGGATGTATTTTTATTCACCAGACCAAATTTGGCACAAATACCTGATACGCCCCAAATTTGAATACTGGTGGGGTTGACGGGGATTGATTTTGTCATTGGGGAGTTGTATAGTTAACCTACAATCAAAGAGCATTCTGAACTCCACCAACAATCGAATTGAACCAAACTTGGCACACAGAACACACATGACCAATAGAAAGTACTGGAAGGGTTTGGTGGGTATTGACCTTGAGTTTTGGAGCTGTAGTTCACCTACATCCAGGGAGCACTGTGGACTCACACAATGATGGATCTGGACCCAACTTGGCACAAATACTCAATATGCCCAAATGTGAACACTGGTGGAGTTTGGGGTAAATAGAACTTGACATTTGGGAGTTGCAGTTGCTGGGATTTATAGTTCACCTACAATCAAAGAGCATTCTGAACCCCACCAATGATAGAATCAGGCCAAACTTCCCATACAGAACCCCCATGACCAACAGAAAATACTATGTTTTCTGATGGTCTTTGGTGACCCCTCTGATACCCCCTTGTGATCCCCCCCCCCCAGATGTCCCAACCCCCAGGTTGAGAAACACTGTTGTAAAGGAACTGCCATTCATATAAACTTTTTGGAAGTGGGGCTGTGAAATTTCAGGGCACCTCATTTTCTCCTGCTCCCCTTTGTATCTGTTTTCTTAACAGGCCTGCTTCCCCGTCTCTTTCTTTCTTTCTCCCCTTTTTTCTATGCCTCTTAAATAATTGTGGAAAATGTAGTGTCTCCTCTGAAGAATGCAAGAGAATCTGATGCAAGCTGTTTTTGCTGTTGTTATTATGGTTTTCTCCCTTCTTCCTGTCCAAAAACCTCAGAGCCCAGCTGAGCATCTGACGTTTACAAAGTGTCAGCGGTTTTGGAAATAAAAAGAGTTGAATTAGGAAAGTCAAGAGTGCTGAACAGCAGTGCAAAACTTTCCCCAAGAAAGTGATTCTTAGGGACTCTTCCAACACGTCCTTGTGAGAGATCTTTCCAGCCTTTCAAATATCTCACTCTTTGGGATCAGTTAAGCTCTGGGAGAGAAGAAACTATGGTGGAGGGAAGCTGGGAATGAAAGGAGAACTCAACTGGGGAAACCATGAGAAATAATATGGGTTTCATTTGATATTTATCTGCCTGCAATCAACACCTCTGCAAAACCACAGCATAATCTCTCTCTCTCTCTCTCTCTCTTCTATTGGTGAGTGTGTCATTCTCACTAAATTGCGTGTTTTAAAACAACAAAGGTAGTGACTTCACAGGGAGCCGCCAGGAGCTTCTCTCTGTAGTATTCTGGTTTGTTGGGAATGAAAATGGGACAACCGGTTTTGTGTGCTGGGTGGATCCCACACTACCAAATAAATGTAGGGCGCCCCAAATTACGTGGCCATTACTGGGTGTTGATTATGAGCAAATGTGAAACACCTTCTTTATGGGAAAATTAATACCGTTTTGAAGTATTCCTCCTGCTCAGGAAAGAGAGTTCAGGCCGTTCCAAAGTTACAAACATCCAACTTACAAACAACTCATATTTAACGATGGGGAACAGGAAGTGAGAGAAATCTACCCTTCAGAAGGGAAATTCACTCCTGAAATAGTTATCATGGCAAAAGTGAGTCTCCGTTGAAGCTTTATCACCTATCCTTCTTTCCACAACAAGCCAAATTTTTCAAAATCAAATTAACACAGGAACAGAAAGTGAGGTGAAATCTTCTGTAGAGGGGCACAGGCAGCACAGGGGTATTAATCACTTCTCTTGCTACCTATCAGACCTCTTGGTGGCACAGTGGGTTAAATCATTGAGCTGCTGAACTTGCTGACCAAAAGTTCAGCAGTTCAAATCCAGGGAGCAGGATGAGCCCCTGTTGTTAGTCCCAGCTGCTGCCAACCTAGCAGTTCAAAAACATGCCAATGTGAGTAGAGCAATAGCTACTGCTTCTGCACACCATCCCCCAGAGTCAGACATGAATAGACTTAATGTCAGGGGAAACCTTTACTTTTACTATGTTACCCAAAACTTACACACACACACACGACTGGAGTTACACTTAAAAACGTACCTGTTCCGACTTACGCAAATCCAACTTAACGAACCGACACAATCTATCTTGTTCGTAACTTGGGATTGCCGGTATAGACTGTGGTAGCAGAATGGCAGTTTCTCTTAGAGTGTTTGCATGTGTATGTTTGTGTCTTCTAGTTGTTTGTTGCCCAACAAAATACGCGTTTCCTAGGATTTTCTTATCTATTGAAAGTGTGCATCAGTCATTTCCACTGACAGCCAGATTTTGAGACCAAGGGTGTATCTATACTGTAGACTTAACACAGGTTGATGCCATTTTAACTGCCATGGCTCAATGTTGTGGTTTTTACAACACGTTTTACAACACAATGTTGTGGAGTTGTAGTTTTTACAACACGTTTAGTCTTCTCTGCCAAATAGTGTGGGTGCCTTACCAAACTACACAAACTGATGCAGGTGGCAGCTTGTGTTGGATTGCTTATCAAGTCTTACCATAATAAACCACATTCGGTATTGTGCAAACTGAATTATATAGACACCTTGCACAATTGTATTGGTGTAGCAGGGATTGCAACTCAGTGACCGAGTGCATGCTTTGTATTCAGAAAATTACAGGTTCAGTCTCAGCCATTCTGACTGAAAGGATCAAGCGGCATCTGATCCCGAAGGCTACTCCCTCCCATTGATCCAGTTGCATTGCTCCTAATCAGAGTACACATTAGTCTGAGCTGGAGCAAGCCAGCTCCCTCATTGATTTCATCTATGTTTCCAACAGAGCTTCAAAAATGTTACTTTTTTTGTACAATAACTCATTTATTTCTCCCAATTGAAATGGCCAGTTTTATATCTTACTTTTCCATTATTGTAGTAAAGATGGTATAAATGGTTCTTTCCCTCCTTATTGTGTCGTAACAACCATACTGTGAAGTAGATCAGACTGAGGGAGAAAGTGATTGGCCCAAAGTTTGTTGTTGTTATCAACTTATGATGATCCTATATCAAACCTATCATAGGCTTTTCTGAGCCTTGGAAAGTGTGACCTGCCCAAGGTCACCTAGTGGATTTCAGTGGCCAAATAGGGAATTGAACCTTAGTCTCCAGAGTTGTGGCCAATACCCAAACCATTTTCCCATACTGGTTCTCAGACCCAAGGTCATGTCATGAGATGACTTCCTAGTCTAACACTAACTACTGTACTAAGAGATTTTTCTGGTACAGAAGCAGTCATTTTATAAATTTTTTGAACATGTAGACCAATTTTGCCTCCTATCCATGGCCACGTTCACAAAGTATTGCCTCTGTGTCTCCCAGAGCTTGTG